GGCTGACGACTCCAAAAACAATGAAGCTAAAGGGGTCCATTCTCAGTCAACCTGTGGTAGTGCTCATCGATTGTAGGGCTACTAATGAGCGATTTACACTCATTATATTATGCCATTAATTTCATGATTTTGCTATCTTGGAGAGTACTTTAGAAGTGCTAACAAGTGATTTTGGTGTTGTTTTGTAGATTGATGGAAGAGGAGAAAACAAGAGCTAAAAGAGGCCAAAGGAAGGAAATAGGCAAAAGTTAGCGAAATTGGATGAAATGACCAAAATGTATGAGATCCAAAGTTCGAGGATTAAAATGCAATTAATCAAAAGTCGTGTCGAAACTCATGATGAAGATCCGAGAGTGTAGGAGTCAATTGGATGAAGGAAGGTGTCAAAGGGATCAAATTTAGTCAAAATATAATCACAAATCATTTTCCAACCGAAAAGTTACGCGCCGAAGTTTTGGTCTCAAATTGAGACCTATTTCTAACATAGCAAACGATCGAATTTGGAAATGATGTTTGCAGAAAAGTTATAGCTCTTTGAGTTACCTTTCCAACGCATCTTGAATCATTTCAATCAGATATCGGATGAAGAAGTTATGGCAAAAAATACTGAAGGAGACGAAAACTGCCTTTTCCACCCGAAGTGAGCGCCATGGCGCTCATATTGGGTGCCGTGGTGCCCAAGATGCTGAAAACAACAGTGAATGTGGCACCGTGTCGCCCATCTTGGGCGCCGTGGTGCCGCCTGTGCGGAAAAACGAGATTTTATATTTTTGGAATCTTTTCTTGGCCCAACTCAACCTTAATTCGTCCAATAACCCCAACACACTATAAATACCATTTAAAAACCCTATTTTCAAGAGGGGATGGAAGGGGGCAAGATTGAAGAATTCAACTACACAATTTGAATGCGGCAAAAATTGAAGACATCAAAAGGAAGGAGAACAACATCAAGGAAAAAGATTGAAGATCTACCCAAAAGACTAGTTTTTTCTATCCTTTTCCTTATGTTGTTTATTATAATTTGTATGATTTTCATTTATTATATCATGAACTAAACAAATTATCTAGGGGTTTGATGTAGCCGAATCGAGTATGGTTTGATGATTTTATAATTATTTCTTTGATTTTTCCACATATATTTAATTGTACCATGATTTTAATGCTTTCAATTGCCTGATCAACAATTGGATGATTTGATGCTAGTCAATTCCGGCGCTCGAGAGAATGGGAATTTAGGCGTGATCATAAGAGTGATACAACATAGAATTTATAGGTTTCGAGAGAAAGTATAAATCTGTGAAGCTTACTCCATAAAAGAATCGGACCTTTATTAAATTCTTGATTTTCAATTTTGAACAGAGATGTTAAAATTGGGATCTAGCGTTAATTTCTAATCGGTGCTCGAGAGAGGGAGTTAGAAATACATTAGGATTCTTGCTTTTAAATATGGGAAAATTAATTGGAATAATTTGAATTCGTTGAATCATAATTGAAAGTTGGGTGAAATCAATCCCTAGGCCTTCTCATTTGATAATTTCTATTCCCCAATTTCGTCCCGTCCAATTCACGTTAGATTAGTTTAATTTATTCACTCATAAAACATTAAATCCATTTAATCATACATTTGTCTAAATAAAGTAGAAATTGCACAATTATAGTGCTTAGTGAAATTTAAATTACAATCCCTGTGGATTCGACACTCTTTACTCTATTACTATATTACAAAACTTGACATCATGCGCTTGCGGTTAAATCACGTTACATAAATCGCGTGGTAGCTACACAATTTTATCTCAGCAGAGTTAGCCAATAAGCTACGACTTCCGACCTCAGACATTGCAGGCTATAGTGTTAATGGGAACGGACTTATTAGTTAGAGGAGGTGGTGTTTGCAAAGGGGTTGTTGTCTCTATGGACGGTATTGATATTGTGGACGACTTTCTTCTGCTTCAGTTGGGATGTACTGATGTGATATTGGGAATGAAATGGCTGGCGAGTTTAGGGGGAATGGATACCATAATGGTGGTTGAGGACCGCCTAAGCGAATATGGGCATTTTATCAGGCTAAAGCATCCTTTCACAGCACAAGTGGTGGCTGATATCTTTGTTAGAGAGATTGTGAGGTTGCATAGGGTGCCTCAGTCCATTATGTTTGATCGTGATCGGATTTTCTTGAGTAAATTCTGGGCAGCTCTTTTCAAGGCTCAAGGTACCACACTCAAGCATAGCACAGCATATCATCCACAAACGGATGGCCAAACCGAAGTGGTCAATCGTTGTTTGGAGACGTATTTGAGGTGTTTTTCTTCAGCTCGACCACGTTCGTGGAGTCAGTGGTTACCTTGGGCAGAGTATTGGTACAACACTTCCTTTCATATTGCAACTAGACACACCCCCTTCCAGATCGTCTATGGGCGTGCTCCTCCACCAATTTTACCCTTCGAGAAGGGTACTACAGTTATGTTGGCTGTGGAACAGTTATTACTGGATAGAGACGGGGTACTACATGAATTGAATTTACAATTTTTTCGTGCTCAGCAAATAATGAAACAGGGGGCAGATGGGCATCGTCGGGATATTCAGTTTGAAGTGGGAGACTTGGTATATCTCAAGCTTCGGTCCTAGGCCCGGGTGGGGCGAGTGGCGTATAAGTTGAAGCTTCCAGCTGAGGCTACTATACATCCCGTGTTTCACGTGTCCCAACTCCGTAAGGCTGTGGGGGCTACGCACACTACTTCTCAACTTCCATCACACCTCACAGCAGATGGTCAGCTTATTGTGGAACCAGAGGCAGTGTTACAAGTCAAACCAGGGTTGTCTAGTGCGAGGCCAAAAGTAATGATCAAATGGAAGGATTATCCAGCATTTGAAGCTACCTAAGAACCACAGGAAGCTGTAACTGATTTAGCTTTAGTCAGTTAGTTCTATAGGGGTAAATTGGGGAGAATCGTGTAATGGGGTAGGGATAATTTAGGAAAAGTCTCTTGTAAGGGAATGAAAATAAATGTACTGGGGGGAAATTTGGGAGGGGCATTCACATTTATTCTGTTGAGTCATTCGGAGAGTCCAGGCCTCTCAAAAGCCTTGGAGTTGTCCCAATTTTCTTCATATCTTTCAATAAATTAATTTACATTCTTGTGTCACTTTCCTCTTGTTTGCATACTGGTGGAAATATTACTCTGTTGCTGTTTCAGAGTGACGAAGTCGACTTCTAACCCTCTCTCTTGGTGTGACTATGGTTGGAGCAGTCAGAAACCATTGAGCAGCATTCTGGAATCAGCAACTCAGATCAGGTACCTATCATTGCCATATAGGAAAATCCCCCTTCCCATTAAAGACCCCAAGTTCGAAACTGGAAGTAGTCATGTTATCGATCAAATTGATCACAATAAGAAAGAAAAATTTGATCACACGAAACGAAAAGGGACAAATGATCCAAGATGCAAACAAGATAACAAAGGTTCTTCTAAATAACAGGTGAGTACATAGAGTCACAATTATATGAGCTGAATCATATACCACATACAAATTATACTTAAACAACATACACACAACATGAAAGAATTATGTAAGTGCAAAAGTGTAAGTGAACGTGTACAGACGAGTAATCATGAGTTATTTTGAGATTTAACCACCTAGCTATACCAAGATTCCATGAAATTCAAAGATCTTAAGTCAAAGTAGAGTGATAGGCAGAGGTTTTAGTATAGAACCTTAAAGAAATATACGAAGTACAAAATCACAAAGATACTACAACCTAAGTAAGCATATAATAGTTTATCCAAAAACTAAAGAAACAATTGGTCAACAAATAATACCCTCTATTAAAAAAAATTAGAGTTCGAGAGAGTAAACCAGAGTGATGGCCATTTCACTTAACCACCAACAGTTCTCACCAAATAATAGCCCACACACCGGAGATGGCTAGATCACGACACCGCAGAATAATTTTTCACACAAAAAAAAAAAAAAAAAAACATAGACTCGTTTCAGATATACCAGATCTAGGGTTTACAACCCCCAATATTCTCAAGATCGACCGTATATTGCCAGAACAAGGCTCAATTTCCCAAGAATAGCCAATCGAGTGGCTCTGATACCACTATTACATAAAGTATCGAACCAAACAATATCAAACTTAAGAGATTTATAGAAAACTTAGAAAAATACACAACTTCCTCTTTCGCTTTCTCAAACCACAACTATGGTACCAAGAACGAAGATGTTACAATTTTGGCGCTTAGACATAGTAAAAGTAGGATTGTACCCGTCTGTGCGACCAAGAAACCCTAACTCGTAACCCTAGAGCATTCCTCTATCAATTGAAAGAAGCCAAAATGGTAAAAGACTCACACCAACCCTTTTATAGTACATTGAGTATCAGATTTCACAAAAAAAAAAACTAGAATTAAACATTTCCAATCAGAGATTGGAAGAACACAAAGAAGAGAAGAAGAAGAGTCTCGAAGGGAGCCACTCAAACAACGGAAGTGATGATATGAATGAATAGGGCAACCAAAAGGTAATATTTATACAGTAACAGTCAGCCGTTGATCTGAACATCATCTAACAGTCCAGGTGGCTCTTAGAGAATAGAGGAAAATGCATTTGGTCTGCAACAAAGGTCACGCCCTAAAACACGCTTTAATGTTTTGGGCCTGGGTTTGGATCAGGTCACGTTATTGGGCAAGAGCTGGGAGGTTAAAAACCAATTTTTGGCCTTAGCCCCTGTTTCATCGTTGCCCCCAAGGAGATAATTGGCATCACAGGCCAACATGAAATTTTCTTATACCTACTTAAATTTCACACTAAATTAAACTTGAAGGTTGTTGCTGCTTCCGTTGGGCCGTAGCGCAGATACAATAAAATAGACATGAATTATTTAACACATTCCTGGCCTACATACACTCGTTTGTAAGGTTATAGATATTCCTGTAAGCGTATGGACCCTATAATAGAGCATTGACACGGGATCCCATGTTTGTCCAAATGTAACTAACCTGGGAGAGAGGATTGACGGCAAATTCGGGTACCGACATGAACTCATCGGCCGAGATGAAGCCACATCCATTACGATCCAGCTGACAGAACCTCTGATATAATGATACTATCTCCTGCTGCGAAACTACGCGCCCCGAAAATGATTATCAATATTCTAGAATTGTAAATGTCTGAACGTGATTTGATAATCATATTACACCCACAAGTTTAGAAAGCCTAAAGATTTTCAAAGAAAATAAACAAACGAAAATTCAAAATTACAATAAAATAAATATGAAAATAAAGTTCATGGGAAAGTTACAGACAGGTGTGATTGCAGTGATCTTGAACTTCTTCTATGTCGTACTGAGTGAGCATGGAGGAAGTGTTCCCCATGTTTTGATTCTTGGAAGAAGCTCTGAGGTCTGTCTGCTGTACAATTGAATGCTGCGGAATTGGTGGGTGGAGGGGGTGGGGTTTTGGTTATCGGTTTTTGACCTCGCCGAGTTGCTGATGCATTTGTTCACTGGGTTTCGGAAACCAAGTACTCTGATTTTATCGATAAAACTTGTACCAAATTCCGCCTTGCCACGACATTAAAATCAATTTTTTTAGTAAATTAAAATATATAATTAGAACTTGTTTAACCTCTATTTTTTTTTAATACACTTTATAATAGTGTTATTACAGATAATTTGAGTTAAAAAAATAAAGAAAAATTTTCATTTTTGTATGTAATATTATTTTATTAAAGAATTTATTTTTTAAATGTGAGTAAATTACTGTTCAAAAATACAATTTTATGAACAAAATAGGATTCAAATAACAGCTTAATTAATTATTGACTCTTACTCACTACCAAATATAGACAATTAAATTTTTTCATTTAAATTTAAGTTAAAATCAATCATTCATTTTAGGGGATTCACAACTTTTTAAGAACAAATTCCATCAACTTTTATCAAATTTACTAAAATTCTGATTAACTTCATCAATCGTCGTTCAATTTTATTAAAATTTTTAAAATGGTAATTGAAGTACTTTTCTTATATTTTTAGTCATTCAAATTTTACAACGATTATATTGATGATCATTTAGTTGAAAACGTTAACCTAAAACCTTACATAATATGAGCACATAATTAATTAGTATGCTATGTTATATAAAGTCAAGTTGATCGTAGTTATATGCATAATTGTCAATCGCGTCATTCGCTATATTTGTTTGATTTTAATATGTAGTCATTTGGTAAAATTTCACGTAGTAGTTGGCAAATTTTGGAAGAATGAACATTTTTGTCTCGCGCGACGTACTAATTAGTATTATTTATGTCCATGTTGAAATTTAGCATAGTCATTCAAAATTTTAATGTTTTCGGTCGATTAATTATTAATGTAACTGTTAAAAACTTTCACTACTTCTAAAAATGACTTCAATGATCATTTTAATACTTTTAACAAACTTCAGTATCCGTTGCCGAAACTAACCCAAATAAGTGCTAAAATGATTATGGTAAGATTTTGCATGTTGTTTAGATAAATTTGTAGCTTGATTTGTCAAATTGTTTTAAATTCAATTATGGGTAAGTCATCATTTGATGAAACCTTCAATTTTTTGCACCTAAACACTTATTTTAGGATTAGTTTTTATCGAGGAGAAAGATATGGAAAATATAATTGATTTATCATGTATATCCCTATACCTTAAAAGAGTGAATGTGGGGGTTATTATTCATTTATGAGTACCTCGTTTTCACACCTATCTGGTTCCCAATTGGTTTCTTACTGTTCATCTCATAAACATCACTACTCTTTCTTTGTTTCATTTTTTTTAATCTTAAAAGAGGAAATCGGCCGTTTACTGTTCATTCAGAACGTATTTTGATGTTCCTATTTTACCTTCAACTCCCTTGCACGGTAACTCTTACATTGGTCTAATGTATCCCCCAAAGCACATCTCCAAGTGGTAAAAGAGGAGGGTGGAGAAATCCAGCTTCACTTGAGACTGCCGCATCAAGGGTTCGAATCCTGAAATATCGATTTGGCTCTTGGTTAAGTGCAAGTGTACAACTAGCCTTCCACCCTGTACCCTTAGAGGCATAACCTTCGATTTATCTCCCTCACGATACTTCAGGATAGGAGCGGTGGGCGACCCTTAAGGTTGGGATTCAACCTTTTTATTACAGTGGTCTAATGACCTTTTTGAATTTAGACAAAGTTAAAAATTGTGTGCTATGTAAAGTGTTTAATTCATTCTCTTTCCAAAAGAAAACAAAACTCTCTTATACTTAATTTTACTCTTGAATATTCCATAATATCTTACTTCACTACTGAAATCACTACTAATTGTCTTCATACGCGTGTGTGGTGCTGCTAAAAAAAAAAGCTGACATCATACCAAATAATATTTTTTTTAGGAAAATAATGTAAATTATATCGAGAAAATTGTCGCAAAAAAAAATAAACATTAATAAAATTATTGATTTTTTTAATAAAAAAACAAATTATACGCATTTTTCAACACATACATTTGATGTACGTTTAACTATTTTTTATATTCATTTGAATCATTCGATATGTTTATGATATAATTCTCAAAATAAGCTTAGAGAGAATATCGAAAATTTATGCATTCGAGTATCGTACAATAGTCGATAAAATTTTAAAGTGGGCTTGTTATCGAAATTTTTAATTTTTTAAATGATGTCTCTTTTGACATTAAAAAACATTTAAAGTTTATTAGGAAATATTTTAAATGACGTCTAAAATTATTGTCGCGAAAAATAATAAATATTAATAAAATAATTGATTTTTTAAAGCAAAAGATGAGTTAATACACGTTTGATGCACGTTTAACTATTTTCGATATTTATTTAGATCATTCGATGTGTTTATGATATAATTCTCGAAATGAGTTTTAAAATAATATAAAAGATTTGTGGTAGATTTTTATAAAAAATTTTTTAAATAAATCACCCAATGAATATATATATATATTCTTTTGCTCCGTGATGCAGGAGCAAATTTTCTCCTCGCACCGATGCTCCCGAGTGCCAGGAGACAATTTGATGCTTCGTGTCAATTTTTTTTATTGGGTGATTGATATTTTTTTGTGTCAATTTTTTTTTCACTGAGTGATTTATTTAGCTTTTTTATATAAATCTTCTATATCTGCTCGAAATTCATTTCGAGAACTATATTAAAGATATATCAAATAATCTAAATGAATATCGAAAATAGTTAAATGTAAATCAAATTTGTGTGTTAAAAATGCGTATAACTTGCTTTTTTTAAAATCAATTATTTTATTAATGTTTATTATTTTTTCGCCACAATTTTCTCAATATAATTTACATCATTTTCTTAGAATCATGTATATTGTTTATTTCCTAAAAGCAGTTGCAATAAATCAAAGTAAAACTTAACACAATGTTGAAAAATTTAATACTCAATCAAAAAGACGTCGATTAATTTATTTGACGACATTGAATATTTTTTATCTATATAAATTTGGAGGATTAAATTCAAATATATCAAAATTGGGTGATTAAATAAAAATCTCAACCCCATTTAAGTGACAAAATATTATACTGTGGCTCAACTTGTGTTTGGCTCCATTGATTTTTTTTTTCATTTTTCTCTCTTTTATTTTCAAACGCAGAATCTTTCATAAAATAATATTACATATAAGAAAAAAACTTTTCATTAAATCGATTGGATATTGAACTATATAAAAAAAAGATTCGATTAATTACACGATTTATTTAGATTATTTGATGAATATCGAAAATAGTTTAATATTTGATATATAAATTATGAGCTCTAATAATTTGGGTTTTTAATTCATGCATCAAGGAAACATTTATCCTATCTCCAAAAAATACATTTCAATTATAACAACACAAAATTGAGGCCAACTAATTTTTCATCTTAATTATTTTAACATCTGAAAATTTTTTATATAGAAAAGAAATTCGATCATTTTTAGAAATCTTTTTCTTATTGTTACTTTTTCCTCTCGATCAATTAATTTTTTAAATAATCTAATAAAATTTTAATGTCATTTAGAATTTTCCTAATAAAATTTTATTTTTTTTAATACCAAAAGTGTGTAAATTTTCATTTATTATTTTAAAAAATTAATCAAATTTGTAGATTTATTGAGAGAAATGTATAAATATTTTGACACATTAATATTATCTAAAAAATGATATAGTCCGTGCATTGTACGAGTGGAAATCTAGTCTTCCATAAAAGTTACATGCACTAACTAGTTGGCTACGAATATGTCAAGTATACCTATAAATTTAGAGGGAAAAAAATAAGGAAGAAGAAAAGCCTTTTGCAATTTGAGTACATTTTACACTAATTAATTATTTTTTAAGAAAATTACTTAAAGCCACAAATAATCTCCTCGCGCTTTGAAATTTTCACGCTCCATGTCCCAATATACCAAACTATAAAAACAAATAAAGAGAACCCCTCAAATTGTCGAGGTAATATGTCGCAGTCATCGCGTCCAGATAGCCCGGATGATCAAACGGTTAGATTTCCTTACGCTGATTCGTTTCCTTGAAACTTTCGTGAGTCTGTAGATGTTTATGCATATCAGAAGCAGTCAATTTTACTAGAAACAGCTCAATTTCATGTCGCATTACCCAACCTAGTTTTTAGGTGGCGATCTTGAAATTTTAAAGAAGGTTTAATTTGAATAATTTATGTTGTTCTTAATTTTTGTTTTTTTTTTTTTTTTTTTTTTTTTTAATGACCCATCAAGAATTATGCCCTTTGCTGATGGATATGTACAGTGCGCCTTTATTTTGAAGTTAGGATTATCCTTGCTAGATCTTATTGAAGTTCTGCTCTTTTATGTCTCTTTTGGTAGTTTTGATTTGGTAAGGAGCTAAATATATAAAGGGTTGAGGTTTGACTTGGTAATAAATTGTTGAAAATCAGAAAAGGGAAAATCACAATAGAGATTGTTTGAGTATTCGCCTGATAATCATATTAGGGAGCTGCATTTGGAATTCCAAAGTGAACAAATTACCTTTCTGAATTAAAATTACTGTTAAAACGAGGTCTAATATCATGACAGTCCATCACTTGCAGAATGTAATCAGTACATTCAGTTGCTCTTCTTGAATGGAGGACGAATCAGATAGGTTTGTCAGCATATGAATGGCCATATGATGACATCAAATCGCACTGAAATGAACTAGTTAAAAAGTAGTTGATACGAGAAGATCCCTGACTGAGGGACTCGAATAGCACAAGCAAAATAGGTCTTAGTTTTAATGTGGCCCATTTCCTTTGAACGTTAGCCCCTTGACAGTGACAACTCAAAAGTCATTAATAAAAGAGGGCAATTTCTCTTCCAAAAGACATGCTTTAAATTAAACAGCGGATAATAATAAAATGACAGTGTAGCAACTAGCAATTGTGATATATGCTCTAGTATGTTGCATTCTATTCAGTGCATTTTGGGAACATAGGGCAGAGCTTCAAATCCTGTCACCTTGATCTGAGGTAAGGTAATACATCTTTCTGTCATATGCGATCCATTCAACAAGTTTGGTTATGTTAGAATGGTAGAAACAATGTAAACAATGGTACATGCCACCCTATTTATGAATGCAAGTAAATGAATTTGAGCCTGGATATGAATGCCGTCATCTCTTAAGCTGCTAATTATTATCTGTCAGTGGTTTCCAGGAGCACCCCGGTTGGTACTTTTGGACCAAACATAATTGATTAGGTAGTATGAATTTAAGCATTAATTTAGTTGGGGCTATACATTGTTTTTAGACATTCACCAATCAAAGTACATTTTGATTTTGTAGTTGACAGAAAAGAGGAGATATGTATGAAATTTGTCCGGTTCTATTATGGATAATTTTATTGGTTTGTGGACGTTGTGATTTTGACTGGGTTTGATGACGATTGTTGCACGTGCTCATGTATTTGAATTCCAAGGTGCACAAAGAGCTTTGAATGATGTTTAAATGTACCTTTAAAGGAACCTATTGAAGGTCCTTATTCGTCTCATTCCATTTGATAGTTTGTGAAGGACTTGATTTTCGTTATGGGATGAATATCTTTTTCTACTATTCCAGCTGAAGTCTTTATTATGTTCCACATATCGATACCATTCTATCCGTTTGCTACAGTGGTTGATCCAAGCTAATAGATTGGATTGCTTGATTATTTTATCACACAGGTAATGTATATTCGCGTCAAACGTAATAAGATTACTTACTTTCTGACATGTGTGCCAAGTGAGACAATTTTACAAATCAAGGAGAAGTTGCAAGATCTCATTGATCAACCAGTTAATGATCAGCGTCTGATACTAATGCCAAATAGGGAAGTGTTAGATGATTCAAAATCATTGGCAGATCAGAAGGTATTTTCTCAAATATAATGTGAAAAAATGTAGAAAATTGTACATATTTTCTTCTATTTTTAGGTAGCTAATCATCTTCTTGTATTTATACAAGAAATGAATCAGATTGCGTGATTAATTTTAATGCTGCAACTGCTCTTACATGTTTTTTTTTATAACTACCTTTGCATAGTAAGTAGTATGATTATATGATTTGCTGAGTCATACTGCCATGTGTTTTCAGGTTGAAAACGATGCTGTTTTGGCCCTGACTCTGAGAAAAGGTCTCTTACTGTCTTTAGATGTTTCTGATTTATTATCTAACTTCTATTAATCAGGATATATTCATTTAGTTTGCATCTTGCTGGTCTATTTTTCATTTCTAAATACCATGAACTTGACTGATTCACTCCATTGTCAGCCTGAAGTATAAAAGAGTTTCTCTACTAGTCATCACGGTTAAAAAAGGATGAGAATAATTGGATGGTTTGTTATTTTTTTTAGTAAAATAAATACTGGAGATAAATGCACATTTAATTTCATTAACAGGGTGAAAGATGAGTCTGTTTTATAATTTGATTATTTTAAGTTCTTGCAAGTTTTTATTTGTTACGAAGAACTAATACCAAGAATTATTCACTTCAAATGACATTTGATAACTGTGCATGAAAGAAATATAAACGAAGACATAGAAAAAATATATGCTTACTGCAGGAGTTAAATAGAAAGTATATTCTAAGTTATTTCTCACCATAATTATTATTTTGAAGTTAGAAATTTCCTATTATCTTATTTTGGCAACTCTCAATTTCTATAGTAACTTTAAAAGTACAATCAAGACAAGTGTCTCTGGATTATGTTGGAAATTGATCTGATATATTCAATAATACTGAAATTTCTCTTTTCATTCCTCTCAATTCTCCAAATTTTCTCTCTTCTTTCTTTTTCATGTCACTAATTGGTATCAAAGGTTACCTTTCTAAAAAATTACTTCTCTTGGTAATATCCATCTACAAAATATATTGTTCACAGTACTGAGCATACATGGATAACGACAGAGGAGATTCGGTGTCTTTATATAATTCATTAGACCAATATGGCAGTTTGACTCACTAAAACTGACTTCTGTTTGGTGAAGGAGAATTATTTACTTTTGACACATAACTTCATTAAGTACTCGACAAATATGCTTATTTTTAGGTGTAAAAATCCCTCCCTCAATTTTCTAAAATGGGATATAAGACAATCAACCTTATGCTGAGATCATGCTTCCCATTTACTTGAATGTGGTGCAGAAAGAAAGTGAGAAATGCTCAAGAATAATGTTGCATTACATTAGGAAAATGTTCAGAAATTCCTTTTCCTATTTCCCATTGTTGTGTCTTATAATTCCTTCAGTTGAAAACTAGCTGTAGTTTGGGTGGAGCTTATGTGTGTTCCACTGCTTTCAATGCCACACAAAATTGTGTGGTACGCCATGACTTGCTCTGTCTGGAATTTAACCGCTTATGTTTAGTCTTGCATGGAAAGAATATGGTTTTCTCGATTTCCATGATTTGAGAATTGTTTTTGAGGGAGTCCTCTTTAATTGAAAGTAAGAGGTGTAAAAACTAAATTCAAAGGTTGCTTATAATGCCTAGGCATTATGGAATAATTTCATGCGTTATCAGTTTTTCAAACTGACGGACTACAGAAGCAGGATAGTCATACTTTAGGCATATAATCAAATGGATAAGACAAAATTCAATTTATATGACAATAATGGAGTGGTGATGAAAGTGGAAATTGGTCAAGGATGAAAGTTTTTCTCTGTTTTCTGTGGTCATGACAGTAGGTAAGTGAGCAACTTCCTGTTCTCAGATAAGTTCTAGGAGAAAATAAGTCAACCTAATTAGTGACAATATTATCATTATGGTATGAGGACGTGAGTCTATGTGATTATTGTCCTTCAAGTTTGCAGTGATGCAAGTAAAATGGCAAATTGTTTCTCCTCTCTCTAACAATTCCTCTGGAAAATTATTTCCTAGATTTTGTGTGTCACGTCTTTTCTTCTTTCCTTAAGCCCCCATCTCACATATAATTAGTTCGTATGTTTTATCTCGGCTACAGAAGAATGTGCTCATTTTTAAAATGAGATGCATAATTTGCACCATTTTTTTGCAAATGAAAACAGGGAAAAGTTTTGCGCATTCGATGACTCTATCTATTTAAGCAAGTGCAACTCCTTTTGAAATGCTAAAATAATGAGTTTAATATTAGAACTTAGTTTTTTCAGCAATTCAGGTGGAAGTGATTATCACTTAGTTTGTGCTAAACAAAAATGTGGAAATTTAAAGTGAAACACTGAGCATGGCTGAGTAATCTTATATTCAGCTGTCATCATTTTCCCTGTCACGGGACTTTAAGATCATGTTTGGTATGAAGTGTTGAAATGGTTTAACTAATATTTCTTCTGTAATATCTATTACTCCACAATTCACTATAATATTCATGCCATAACTGCTTATTCCATGGATAGGAATTCTGTGGAAAGAAAAATCATCCTATTTTGAGCAATTTCTTGTTATATAGTTATTTTTAATGATTTACATTACCAAGAAGTATTCACTTCAAATGACATTTGATAACTGTGCATGAAAGAAATATAAACGAAGACATAGAAAAAATATATGCTTACTGCAGGAGTTAAATAGAAAGTATATTCTAAGTTATTTCTCACCATAATTATTATTTTGAAGTTAGAAATTTCCTATTATCTTATTTTGGCAACTCTCAATTTCTATAGTAACTTTAAAAGTACAATCAAGACAAGTGTCTCTGGATTATGTTGGAAATTGATCTGATATATTCAATAATACTGAAATTTCTCTTTTCATTCCTCTCAATTCTCCAAATTTTCTCTCTTCTTTCTTTTTCATGTCATTAATTGGTATCAAAGGTTACCTTTCTAAAAAATTACTTCTCTTGGTAATATCCATCTACAAAATATATTGTTCACAGTACTGAGCATACATGGATAACGACAGAGGAGATTCGGTGTCTTTATATAATTCATTAGACCAATATGGCAGTTTGACTCACTAAAACTGACTTCTGTTTGGTGAAGGAGAATTATTTACTTTTGACACATAACTTCATTAAGTACTCGACAAATATGCTTATTTTTAGGTGTAAAAATAGTAGATTTTAAATTAATTTCATCATATTACCACTGTTGAGTTAAATTCTTTTTTCTTTCCTTTTTTATATTTTGGTAACTTTGTGTTTGAATGAATTTTAGTATAACAATTACTATATTCTTGAAAAATGTAGAAAATTCCATTTCAACCTTTAGGTATAACCATTATTAATATTTAATAATGTAAACCACTGAATTGATATATTAAATGATATTGAAGTTCTCTAAATTATAACTCAATTCTTCTTTTCCTTTCTCTCTCTCTCTCCCCGAATGTGGTGCAGAAAGAAAGTGAGAAATGCTCAAGAATAATGTTGCATTACATTAGGAAAATGTTCAGAAATTCCTTTTCCTATTTCCCATTGTTGTGTCTTATAATTCCTTCAGTTGAAAACTAGCTGTAGTTTGGGTGGAGCTTATGTGTGTTCCACTGCTTTCAATGCCACACAAAATTGTGTGGTACGCCATGACTTGCTCTGTCTGGAATTTAACCGCTTATGTTTAGTCTTGCATGGAAAGAATATGGTTTTCTCGATTTCCATGATTTGAGAATTGTTTTTGAGGGAGTCCTCTTTAATTGAAAGTAAGAGGTGTAAAAACTAAATTCAAAGGTTGCTTATAATGCCTAGGCATTATGGAATAATTTCATGCGTTATCAGTTTTTCAAACTGACGGACTACAGAAGCAGGATAGTCATACTTTAGGCATATAATCAAATGGATAAGACAAAATTCAATTTATATGACAATAATGGAGTGGTGATGAAAGTGGAAATTGGTCAAGGATGAAAGTTTTTCTCTGTTTTCTGTGGTCATGACAGTAGGTAAGTGAGCAACTTCCTGTTCTCAGATAAGTTCTAGGAGAAAATAAGTCAACCTAATTAGTGACAATATTATCATTATGGTATGAGGACGTGAGTCTATGTGATTATTGTCCTTCAAGTTTGCAGTGATGCAAGTAAAATGGCAAATTGTTTCTCCTCTCTCTAACAATTCCTCTGGAAAATTATTTCCTAGATTTTGTGTGTCACGTCTTTTCTTCTTTCCTTAAGCCCCCATCTCACATATAATTAGTTCGTATGTTTTATCTCGGCTACAGAAGAATGTGCTCATTTTTAAAATGAGATGCATAATTTGCACCATTTTTTTGCAAATGAAAACAGGGAAAAGTTTTGCGCATTCGATGACTCTATCTATTTAAGCAAGTGCAACTCCTTTTGAAATGCTAAAATAATGAGTTTAATATTAGAACTTAGTTTTTTCAGCAATTCAGGTGGAAGTGATTATCACTTAGTTTGTGCTAAACAAAAATGTGGAAATTTAAAGTGAAACACTGAGCATGGCTGAGTAATCTTATATTCAGCTGTCATCATTTTCCCTGTCACGGGACTTTAAGATCATGTTTGGTATGAAGTGTTGAAATGGTTTAACTAATATTTCTTCTGTAATATCTATTACTCCACAATTCACTATAATATTCATGCCATAACTGCTTATTCCATGGATAGGAATTCTGTGGAAAGAAAAATCATCCTATTTTGAGCAATTTCTTGTTATATAGTTATTTTTAATGATTTACATGGTGTTACAGATGATAATGAATTTGAAGACGTGAATATCACAAGACCAACGGATTATAACCCTTCCTCAGATGGTGGTTCTAATTGGTGAACCGGAACATATCAGAAAGCTCTCTGCGGAAACAAGCTGTACCTTTTAAATAACTCATTGTCCTCAGTACTTTTTAACTAAAAATGCTGCTTAAGTTGCTTTCGCAACATTAGAGTTTGACTATCAACGCTTTGTCTAAAGTCTTTCGATATGCTATAGAACTAAGTATTTGAATTTGATTCTATGAGAGCCTTGTTCAATGGAAGTCTCTATGCCTCCCTCCCTATCTCATATGTCTATGCGTGTGCGTGTGCGTGTGCGTGTGCGTGTGCGTGTCTGTGCATGTCTTTGTGCTGTTGCCTTCTCGTTGTTGGGTTGGTGGGGCGGGGCACGGCAAAGAGATCTAGGTTTATGTTCGTGCATGAATGGAAATGTCAGAGTAGTCAAAGGTAGAAGTTGTGAATGAGAGATGAATGGAGGGTTTATCGATAAATCTTGAAAATATTAAAGTTAGTTTGACTTTTGAAGTTCTTTTACACGTTATTCATGAGTTCGGCTCTTATATATGTTAGCTTGACCAAGCTCAGGACAAATTTCTATGTTTTGGTGATAATAATGATGTGATATTTTCCAGGTTTTTTTAGTTACACAATGCTTTGATCGTGTTATTAGTAGGGGGAAAAAGTCCTTCTAGAATTTTTTAACATGCGTGTTATTGTTTTGTTAACTTTCTTTACTTCTTGTCACTATGAAGAGTGAAAGTTCTTGCATTCGGAAGTATCTTTTGCTCATCATCTTGGGTTCAACCAACCGAGGCTAAGGCTCGACCCACAACTTTGTGTTATGGTTGCCTTTTTCACTTACTCTTGTTGTCCTCTTACTAATCAATAAAGGATTAAGGTGGTGATAGCAATATCATGAAGGGTCAGAAGAAAAGAGTAGCAATGGTTGAATCACAAAATTCACTCCAAATCGGCAGCCTATTTCAACTCCTCTGTTGGACGCACACGCACGCTTACATAGGAAGTGATAAGACGAATATATAGTCATTTAGTTAGGTTACCTCTAATTGGGCCAAAATCAAGTGATTGGGCCGCACGATCCAAGGGCTAAGGCTAATAATAAATGGGCTATCACATATCAGCACTAAACAACAAATTCACTCACATGGACGAACCTAAAGTCAATTGGTCGTTTTCGAGTTGAGCCCAAAATTGTGATGCCAATATAATTTTCGGCATCATTTTAAAATTATTGTCCAGACTTATTAGGTTTTAAAAATTCAACAAATATTTACATTGATGCTCAATAATCAAATAAAATTGGAATCACACGCCTTATCTCGTGTTTGGATCCAAAATATATATCATATCTGCTTCATATACTCATTAGAGCTAAGGTCAAGAAAAATCAAGTAGAAGCAGATAATCATAATAACCAATCAAGAGTAAATAAACATGCGATGATTATATAAAATATAAGATAACACAGATTTTTCGAACATACTCAACAAAGAACATCAAACTAATACCAAGTTAGTCAAACAAATGATCAACACATAAAATTCATAAATGGCCCCATGAAAAGATATCATCACACTTATCCTACCCCATTATGCGTAGCTTGCATCTTGAGAATACATATCTCTGCTCATCTTTCATCATGTTCACTAGACAGGTAAGTGACTCATTTCTAATAGGTAAACCACTATAGATCCTATGTCAATGAGATAATCCTCTATTATTACCTTACATCTGTCTACCTAATTGCATACACCACCAAACAAAAGTGATAGGAATGTCACTCTCTCGCTCCATTCGATAAGAATCTTAATAGAAAGAGGATTCTAAACATTTAATAACATCACCTCACATGATCAAAATGTCATTCTCTACATCCCCCATACATATCATCAATGCACCATCAAACATCTATTCTCCATATTATCCATTGACATACTTAGTACTAATGCATCTAAACCCATCACGCAAAATCAACACCTATGGCGACCATAAAGGTTAGGACTCAATTTAAATTGACCCACGTATCACAAGGTTAATCCAATGAAGTTCACAAAGAATTTATCCTACAAATGGAAGGCGAATGTGGGATTCAAAAAGAAAAGAGAATGAAGGGTTGGTTACTTCACAACACTCACAAAAGAATGCTGTAGAGAATAAGAGGATAACTCACACATGGCTAACACATAAAATCTCACAAACCATGTGGCTTACAAAGATTAAGAAGAAATTGGCTGTCTCGCTACAACACTTTCTCACTCCCTCACAAAGCAAAAGGAGTATGCCATAGATTTTACGTAAATGTAAAAACATCAACAAAGTTTACTCTTGATAAACCTCACTCGGGTCATAACTTGTTACATCCCACTCTTTTATAGTCTAACTCAAAGAATTATCTAGTTAAAGTCAAATAAGGATTTAAGTTGAACAAATAATTTTTTGGGACTTAATTTGTAACTACTAACACTTAAGGGTACAGAAATGATACCAAGTAAGAATTCAAATTTTCTATTAATATAATTAAAGGACTAGCGGTTATATGTTATGAAGAGTGGGGGTTGACTTACAATTATGCAATAGTCATCCATTTTACCACTTAAAGGATAAGTGACCCATTTACCTTTCTTATTTTGGGGAAAAATAACACACATGGCAGAGGAGAATAACAGAGAAAGGAAGGAGGGGGACCAAAAAAGAAGAAGAAAAAAGAAGAAATGTGCGTTTTGAAGCTTTAATTCTCCATTTCCCCAATTTTTCCATTGATTTAGAGAGGTAAGTGTAAGTATGTTGAATTATATTTTTGTGTTTATAGAAAAATTTCTCAAATTTAAGGTTTAGCAAAAATTAATAATTATTGATATATGTTTGAGGTATTAAACAACAATAATAATATTAGTGTTGAAAGAAATGAAAGGTGAAATGCGTTTGTAAATTAGAGTTTCAATCTTTAATTTGTTGTGTTTATATGTTATAAAATGCTTGATTTATGAGGTATTCGAGTGGTAAAAGGATTTGGGGTTAGATTTTGATATTTATAATTAAATTTCGTGCAAAATTCATGTGTAGGTGCTACTTCTAAAATTCTGCCCAGAAAAGTGCTATTTTTGTCAATGGTTTCGATTCCAGACTTCAATATTCAGAAATTGGTGCCACATTTCTATATTCTAGAATTTTAGTGCTATTTTTGTCAAACTTTGGATTTCCAGATTTTTAAAGATTTGAATGAATTTATATGACAAATATTGAGGTCTATGTATTGGGCTAACTATGTATAAGGGTTGTATATGTACAAGTAGTGATTTTAAGGAAGTGTGAGTGGTGTAATGGATTTGACAGTGCATGGTGATTAGTTGATAAATCATTAAAGAGAAGAAAAGTTGGGGAATTGGAGATGTAAGAGTAAGTAGAGAAATTGAGAAGTTAAGTGGTGGATTTGTATTAATTTAATTGTTAGGTTTTTAATTTGAGAAATTATATCGTTATTTCAGGTATGGACGTTAAAGTTTGGAAAGGCTCGTCAATTTAATCAGATTTCTATGTATAGATTTGTGAATGGAAAAGCTTAAATAATTTCAAAGTATTTATAAATTAAGTATATTATTAAATTATGTGAATTATTTGTTCAATTATAAGATTACCAATAAAGTTCTTTTACTATGATACATGTGGAATTTTAAAGATTGTATATGGTGCATTTGTGAATTGAAATATGAGATGTGATATTGAGATTGACCATAAAAGTACCCGTGATTATATACTTCTTCTAGTTCACAGAGGAGCCTTGCCTGTGTACTACATTGATGGGTAGATTGGGGATGAAGGAGTCGTGGCTGTGTATATATAGTTCACTAAGGGGCCTTGGCCGTATTTTACAATTGATTATCCGAGGTCTTTGAGACCCGCTTTCGTGTACAGAGGTGGCCAAAGGCCTGTGGTGAAAATGCTTGACCCGAGAGGAGGATTTCATATTTTAGTCAGAGGGTACATTTTTTGTGGATCACATGTGATGTGGCGAGATGATGGTATAGATATCAGCTGATGACTACATCATGAATATGAGATGATATTTGTGATCTGCCTAGTCATACTACCAAGAATTGTAACAAACTTCTGTTGCGCCTTGATGCCAATTGTGCTACTGCTACCTCCAAAAATAGAAAATGGCTTCTAGATTCCACTGCCTCTCACAATATTACCTTTGATTTGACAAATTTGTCTATTCACTCGGAGTATGATTGTCAAGATGTTGTTCTTGGAGATTACCTATTTAAAAGTCACTCACATTGGCTCAATTTCTCCCTACTCATGATAATAGTGTAATGTTACTATTAAATTTTACCCTTTCCTTTTCTTTGTGAAGTATCGAATGATGGGAGTGGTGCTCATGCACGGTAAACGTGATGCTGGAGTCTATTTGGTTCGGTAGCACTATGACCTCTCTCTAGTGAAGCCCATGCAATAAGCCTTATTGGAACCTGAGTCTTTTTTTCACAATGGCACCATCGTTTGGGGCATCCTACCCCCAAACTTTTATCATTGTTACTCTGCAATTGTTATTTACCAATTTTCTTGTGAAAGTCCTCTTTGTCTTGTATTTCATGTCAATGCAATAAATCTCGTAAATTGCCATTTACTTGTACTTTTCTTACAAGCCATGCTTCGTTAGAGTTTGTGTATGCCGATGTTTGGGGTCCTTATCCTGTTACCTTTATTAATGGCTTTTCGCTAATATGTCTTTTTTGTTAATCATTTCACTAAATATTGCTGGTTTTATCCCATGAAGAAAAAATCTGACGTTAGTCTTATTTTTGTTCAATTAACTACCATGCTTGAAAATTTGTTTGCTTGCGAAATAAAAAATCTGTATAATGATAATGGTGGTGGATTCATCAAATTATGTTCTTTTTTTGGCTCAACATGGTATTAATCGAACAGAATTGCTTTTAATCAAACAGAATTGTCTTGTGTGTGTGTGTGTGTCTATATATATATATATATATATATATATATATATATATATGAGCAGATCTACAGTGAAGCCAATGGGTTCATAGCCCCACTCTAAATTTAAAATTCAAGATTTTGCCATAGATTTTTCAAGATTATACAAAAGATTTTCGAAAAAAAATCCTTATAATTTTTAGTTTTGCCCCCACAATTCTACTCTGCTAGCTTTGCCCCTAATTCCACATAGCTATATTTAGAATTCAACGGATTAGTTATGGATAATATTCAAACCTTCTTCTCCAACAAGGAACATTATTATGAAAACATGAAAATGTAAATGCAAAAATGAAGAAAAATAACTGCTTGCAAATTAAACTCTAGCTAGCAGACTAGCTTTATTTTGAGCTTGTGAAGAACAAAGAGAAATTGCTTATATTTCTTCGTAAAACAACTTCTTGAAGGTGTCAATACACTCCTGCTGCCAGCACAATGCAAGGCTAAATGATCCACCTCCATCTCGATCTAGAATAATGAAGGATTTTCCATCAAAACCCATCCAGGGCCTAGGTGAATCACCTTTCTCCAACCAAAATTAGCTTCATATACAGGCATAGATGTCCAACTTGTGACTTCTATACTAGGATTTCCATAGAAAGCTCCTAGTGCACACCCTGCTGTGTGAAAATTACGGTGTACAGAAGCATCTGGTAGAGCCTTCATAAGTCCAACATATGATCTTATGCATTCATGTGTTACTTGATCAATTGCTTCGGGTATTTTACTTGAAGCATAACTTAAAGGGTTAGAGAGTAATTCCCCATCTGTAGTTATTGTTGCTTCGCGTAAATTGGCGTTCTCGAAGTAGCCTTGTGGTTTTGGTGGCTGAATTCGATTTCTGAAGATGACTGCTATGTGTAATCGAGTTAGTTGCTCGTCTGCAAGCCTTCATGCCTTGGATGCACATCTCCACACGTGTCCAGCAACAGCATTACACATGTGCATAGGACACAACTAGAAACTATAAGCCCCTATTTAACAACCATTAATGGATAAAGTAGAGTTTTAAATAGTGATTTTTTGAAAAATATGTAGTTAAAAAATTGGAAAAAAAATTGGGTTTTCGTGCAGAATATTTTATTGTGTGAATGTGTGATTGAAAATGAGTATGTAAGAAAAAGGATTTTGAAATAACGGTTGTCAAACACTGGCGAAGTATATAGAGTAAAATCCAAGAGACTTGAGCTATGTTTGAGCTTATTTTCAGGGGAACATAGATTTTGTAATAATATTTTTCTAAGAATGAAAAAGTTTTAGGTTTTTATAAATTTGTTACTTTCTTTTACTTCGTTTCTACATTGTTAAACTTAGCTTTTTGTCATCCACATTCAAAACGAACTTTACTATATCCCTCAAATAACCAGAAGCTATAATCCCATGTTTGACAACCATTATTTGGTAAGTGATTTTTTGAAAAATATGTGGTTAAAAATTTGGGAAAATTTTGGGTTTACGTGCATAATATTTTATCGTTTAAATTTATGGTTGAAAATCAATATATAGAAAGAAGAATTTTGAAATAACGGTTGTCAAACACTGGCTAAGTATATTTATAACGTGTTAATTCTTATGCAATAACTATAATTTTTAAGATTATAAGAATTTAATTCCAATATTAGTTAGTGATGGTCAATCACCAATTTGTGATACTAAGAACAGGCATATATATGAATTCGTTGGATTGAAAAATGTTATGGTTCTTCATTAAATGTTAATTTTAATTCTCATTTTATATCATTATTGATCCACTAATAATTTAAGTGGATATGCTAAACAATAAAATATTAGAGTTTTTAAACTTCTGGTTCAATATAATATTTATATCAATTGCACTAATATTACTATAGTGTACCAATTGAGAAAACCTTTTAGAAAATTTGTAGGTTTCTCTTTTTTTTAGTGGTGAACAAATTACTAGTAATAGTAAGTTTATCTCTTCGTATCACACAATATTGACATTTCTGGAGCCTTGAATAAGATTTGTAATCTCATATTTTGCCAACTTTAATTTTTATAATTATTCAAAAACTTCTTTTTACTAGATTAAACATAATATTATTCTAAAACACTGACATGTATAAATAAATTCTTATGCAATAACTATATAATATTGACATGTACAAAAAAAAAAAAATTCTAACAAACAAACATACCTCATATCCTGCTCCAGTGGACAATATAAAAATTTCTCAATAGTGACGTGACAAGAGAACTTTAATTATGGTACTTTGAAACGTTAATCATAAATTCAGAGAACTATAATTAAGGTTCTCTTATCACATCAAGAATAATAAGTTTTTATCCTATCCACTGATATCAGGAGATCAATTCTAAACAAACAAAACCTATATGTTAACTTCAACAACCTTCTTCCAAACAATTTCCCTCTAAAGTCTCAACTTTATTTCCATGGTAACATTTTTTTTTTTTTTTTAACTCTTAGAACATCTTAAATGATGGTGTAAAATTGGGTGTAAAATCTTCAAATTCACTTTTGCATGCTTATTTACATCTCGTTGAATCTAAATTTAAATTTTATTCCAATGAAAAGAACTAAATTCACTTTTTGCCTCTTGTGAATGTAAAAACATATATAAATTTAAATTTTTACCTTTTCTGCCAGAGAATACAATTTTCATTTCCATTGTATCTCTCCATGTGAGAGGCTATCAGCCACTTCGAAAATCTATATCATTGATTTAGTATAATTTTAACAATGATTGAAATATCTCTTAGAAGTTTGTATAAGAATGCCATTTTTTAAAGTTGGGTTTTCTTTTAGATAAAGTATTTCTTGACTCCAAATATAATGGTTTAATGCAGGATAGAAATTGATATTGTTTAAAGGTTAAATATGACGCTATTAAATAAGAATAAAATTGTTTGTAGTGCACAGGGTGGTTTATAGGTATTGAGATAGCAGCACCTTATTGATCATTTTAACTTTTTTTTTCAAATTCCAATGAAATGTTGTCATCTGACATTCTATACCTCCATCTGACAAATCGGTCTGTATATATAGCGTTGTTGATTAAATAAATAAGTTAAGGATAAAAATAAGTAGAATAAAGCTATTTGTACAATTGTTGTTGACAATTGTGGCTGACAAATTAGTGTTGTCAAAATTTAGACCATTGATTTAAAAGATGTTTCAAAAATAGATAAATGTGATGTTATCATGTGTTGTCAATCAAGATTATAACAAAAATAAAAACATATTGTACAAATAACAGGATTGGAATAAGTAAGGTACCTATACTACATTCTTGTGATTGATTTAGTTTATGGAAGCAGTTGAAATGGGCAATGTCTTCCTTGGCTTTTGATCGATTATCTTTGTTCTGTATTCTTCTTCGTCACACCTACTTCCGCTTAAGCCAACTACCTGTAGTCCTTGTACCCCTCAAACTAGTGGGTTTTAAATACATGAAATTTAGATTAAAAACAAAAAGAAGATTTTGACGACTCGTTGATTCGTCACATATATAAATATATGATTCATTTATAAATTTACTAAGTCGAAAATTTATGACCAGAAAAAATAAAATTTGGTTTTGATGAAATTCATTTATTGAAATTTATTATTAACAACTAGGGGCGGACCCACATGAGGTCATGTGGGGTCAAATGACCTCACAGTTTTCTGGAATTTTTTTTTTTTTTTTTTTTTGTTGAAAACTTGAAAACTTAATTTTCTACTCCCAAAAAGTCCAAATCCTAAATCTATATCCATATCACATGGTCCATATCAATTATTTAGTCCATAGATATATCATATAATCCACCTATTTCTTCCTAAAGTCTAAATATCGAACATGAACAGCAAACAACCGATTTTTCCTTTTTATTCATGATACGTTGTTCGAAAAAAAAAATTTTGACCCCACAGTTCGAACGGTCTGAATCCACCCCTGTTAAAAACCCTTCTACACATATAGATCGAAATATTATAGGGGATTTACCGACACTTACAAATACGGATGGGGGCTTTTGGTGGACCTTTGTAATGAGGTGGGACCCACATCATGTTTCACATTGTACAACCTCTATGAAAAGGCGTTCCATTACGTCCATATTTTCCCAATGTTTTAATAAGTGGGACCCACATCAGGAGTTGTCTGTAAGCCCCTATAGAATACGGGCATGAGTACATATAGCTTTATTGTATTATTAAACGTGGACCTCGCGATTGAGAATCAATCATGTCTCCTTATTTTCCAGTTATAAATGTCCAGTTCAATAAATCCACCAATTTCAAAAGGATCATTTCTTCGGGTGGGACTGAAAGTACTGTCCTCGACGAGAATGACGCAAATATTCGTGGTGCTTCACATCTTAGGTCCCATTTCAATGAAGTTGAAAAGTACAGCCAAAAAAAATAATTTTCTCATGCCTGTAAGAAAAAATAAAATAAAATTTAAGTGTAGTATGATTAGTTGCATACACTCTTAACATTAAAAATGCAAATTGTTGCCCCTCGTGGGGTGGTCGAGTTGGTGAAATAGGTGAGCGCGAAAGCCTTTGATCACGAATTCAATTTTCCTTACAAACACTTTCTTGGTCGAGCCTGTCGCACAGGACTTGTCTAGTGCGATTTATCTGGTTGGCGTAATTTGCAGGCTATTGTGTCAACTCGAAAGATTACTCAATGCGCACCCGAAGGGCAGCGGCTACGGGTTCTCCTGTCATAAAAAAAAATGCAAATTGTTCATCAAGGAAGTTACAAGCTCGGAAAAACTTTATTTGAGTTATTATCTAAACTTCTTGGAAGGAAAACATCAGAACTTGTGGGAACAATTTAAAAAAAATTTAAAAAACAATTAAGAAAAAAAATAAAAATTCCACATAAAAGCACAAGGAAAATCACTTGTGCAAGTGCTTGAACCAACAACTCACGAGTTTATTTATTGTCTAATTACCAATTAATTCATTTTAAAAGTTATAAATGGTACTTAACTAGTTTAGATATTTATTTATTATTGATTTTTATTGTCGCCACCAAGTATAGACCAATTTATCTTTCTTTTAAAATTGTTTAACTCGTAAAATTATTAGTTTTTATAAATAAATAACTATAAAGAGTTATAAAATAAAATTTTCTTATTGTTGGTTAAAGTTGGAAAAAAAAAAGTACATTACTTATTTTGAAAGTACATTGACAAAAATAATAACTTGTTGATGCAACAATGTTTAGGTACAAAAAAATTATTTAAAATTGTAAAAATCAAATTTTTAATAGATTTTGATAAAAATTAATGAAATATATTATTAAAAAGTTGTGAACCCCTGAAATATTTGATTAAAATTAATTTTTGATTTTGACTTAAATTTTAATTCAATTTCTTAGGTGAATACAACATGAGCTAATTATATTGTTAAAGCTTAGCCAAACTTTCGATGAGTTATGATAATTTTTATATTGATACTTTTTGAGCTAATTACAGGGTCCCACACATTTATATTGTAAGGGTGAAAATCAGCTTCACGACTGATCTTGTGGGGAATCATGAAAATGGTTCAAATTTCTTCGCAGAGCAACTTTAATACTTTATGAAGGTGTCCACTGTGTTAGAGAAAAGACAATAGCTTTTTTCAATGTCAAGGACAAAATAATGCAGGGAATTGAATTTTCACTTTTAAAGAATTTTTTGAATTTAAAAACTTAGGGATGAATTTAATGTAGATTATTATAAATTTTAAAAATCATTTAAGCCGTGGGATAATAAATCAAGACTTTTTAAAAAAATTTTAAAAGTCAAGTGGTATTTAAAATGTCAATGACTTTTTGAAATATCCTCTATGTACTAACTTTTAAGCGAAAATACATACACAAAATTTCACAAATTTTCTCGCATTCTCCCCCAAAGACTTTGAAGAATTCCTTCAAAAAAAAAAAAAAAAAAGGCTCTTTCAGTTTGTATATATTATCGTTCTTCAATAATTCCCTCATGTCTTTTATTTTATGTATTATATAGCCTGACCAATTACCAATTTTTTATGTAAAGGAAGATCAATATTTTCACTCTTTCAACCTGTTATTTTTCTTTAACATTCTCCTTTTTCTCTCTTCTTTAATTTCCATGGTTTCTTCCATTTATCTACGAAAAATTTTTGCAATCAAATTTTTATAAGATTTTCTTATATTGGTAGTTTAGTAACATTCTAGTAGCTTATGTCATGATAATTTTTTAAACTATGCTGCTTATTTTTTATTTTTCCTCGGAGTCCCCTTGTGTGGGGAAATTGTGTAAAGTTATTTTTCTTTTATCATAACAAGTATTGATACTTCTTTTTCCTTTTGTCCTTTTTTGTGTATACGACTTCCATTATTTCACTTACTTTGAGGCATGTGCCCTGCTATTCTAATGATTACATAAAATTATTATACCGAGTCAAAAGATAAGGTTAGAGAACGATATTGATCTCCTGCTTTCAGTGGATAAAATAAAAACTTCGCACTGCTAATATGATGAGAACCTTAAATATAGTTATATGAGTTTTAAAGAATCATAACTGAAATTCTCTTACCATGTCAATAACGAAAATTTTTTATTCTATTCATTGGGGTTGGAAGATTCCACATGTGCTAGTGAATAAAGGGCTACTATAGTATTTTTTTTTTTCCTATTTGTTCCTAATGATTTATGTACTGAATCATTTCGATATCAAGTAATGTTTCAAAATAGTACATTGACATTTAACTCCTGTTTGATAATTATTCTTTCAAAAGAATAAGTTTTTGAATAGTAAATTTTTATAGAAGGTGTAACTAAAAAGTAAGAAATTTTTTTGGATTCACGTGAAGAATATTTTATTATGAGAATGTGTGATTAAAAATGAGTATGAGGAAAAAAGAATTTTAAAAGAATGGTTGTCAAATAGGGATTTGTAAATAAATTTTATTATTAATAAACTTTATTAGTAATATAGATTGTGTTGTTTGAATAATTTGTGTAGATGTCTTTAGAATACATACTGTCTCCAAACCAATGGTTGTATACTTCTATCACTCAATTTTCAAGTCATCAATATGTTAAAAATTTTGTAAAACTTATAGATGCAGATGAATAAGCTTATGTGTAATATTTTTTATGGATTTATTTATGGAGCTATTTATACAGATGAAGAAGAACAATTCAGTAGCAAATTGGTATATGAATTTATAATGAGGCTTGTCAACCGTGACAAAAAAAATAAAGTCTGAGCGCAGTTAGATAACCATTTTGCTCGCTTCGGTATACAAGGATTTTGTCTCATCACTGGATTACCTTGCCATGAAGTACCTATCAATCCTAACTTTAATAATGATCGCTTAGAAATCAGTACTTTAATGGTACAAAAAAATTTGTATGAAAATGCTTTTTGAAGTATTCCACATATGTGAAGATTAAGATGATAAATTTAAACTGGAATTGGTTATGTTAGTACAGTGTGTTTTGAAACCAACTAGAAGATTCATTGATTATAGAACCCTCGGAATAGTTAAGTACCTTGACAACTCTCTTGTGTATCCATGGGGCATTAAGACATATTTTGTTTTGTTAAACTCACTGTAAGAATCACAACTCGAACGAGTACAAATGTTGCTACAAAATGAGCAAAAGGATTTTAAGTATTCATTACATAGATATCTACTAGAATTTCAGGTATTTTTCTTC